ACACACACACACACAAGCGCAATAATGTTGCAATAAATCATGTGCCGAAAAGCGTTTAGGTCTCTTCACTCTACTACGCAGACTGGACTTCAGACAGAACATGAGCATGCACGCTCTGCAGCCTACTCTGTTCATATCGGTCAATTTCGCGGACCTCCAATATTCTCAGTAGGCGCTGCTCGCTTTTCGAAGCTGCCAACTTTAGGCACCTTAACTGATGCCATAGACACCGTCATCACACATGAATTTGTTGTGACGTGTTGATCATCTCCCTCAGGCGTTGAAAGGTTCTTAGATTCGCGTGGGCTGATTGAACCTAGTGCACACACCTGTCGAACCTGTCAAGCCAAGGTACGCTGCTTCCTCTGGGCACACGATCCTCAAATCGATCAAAGATAACCGAATTATCACTGAGCCTATTTCCTGACTACTGTTTGCAGCCTTTTCCTGCACCCCGATACGGGTTGACGGCGGTGCGCCACCTTCGCGCTGGGTGGGATCACTTGCTGGGCATTTCGGACATCCGGCCAAGTCTCTTCCACATCTGGTGCTTCGATTGTCCCGGTGACTTTTGAACCATGTCCTGGAGTCTCGAAGGTCAAAGTAACATGGCATCGTAATTGATGTACTACAGGACCGCAGCGCAAACATCTGGGAGGACATTCAAATCATTTCAAATCATAGTCTGGGCTCAACACCACGACTTTAGCATGGTAGCACTAACTAATACCATGTCTCTATAACTATACATATCTGGGTATACATTAAAATGTGAACAACTGTCAATAATATAGTATGTTGCCTGCATTTCGATTTTGTCCGCGGATTCTCACGAAGCCCATCCTTTGGCACCTTGATCACCAAGCAATACTTCGATACATTAGACCTTACAGAGAGCCCGTGACATGTTATGACCATGACCTGCTCATCTCTCCTATACTTGCGGCACTCTTTCTCTTACAGGAGATGCACTCACGCGTTTGCTGTTTTTGCTGCCTCGGGTATTTCAATTTGGCAACGATGCAGCTGCGCGGCGGGATGCCACTCGCTACTGGCCGAACGGACATCGACGCTCCATTGCCGTCGGACGCTTTGGCCTGGCAGCAAGTCAATGCGGGCGCGCATTCACCATGCCGCCATGCACTTCTCTTGTCTTGGCGGTGAAATGTTGCAGGAATGCTTCATGGTCCGACTACTTCACATAGCTGCAGGAATGTCCAAATGGCCTCGATCTCCTTTGTATCGAGCTGATCCGGCTCCTCGGACAAGCCATGGACGCCTGAGTGCCAAACAAAATGAACAAGCGGCTGCGAGCATTCAAGTCGCCGCTTCACCACTCCGTGTTTGAGGTCCGCGCATCCATCAATATCCTTCAAGGCCGACCACAGTTCTGGAGTAAGATACGCTGCACAACAAATCGCCATGAAGTTACCCTTTGTGGTGTAGTGAAACCTGAGGTCAGAAACCACAACTTCAAGAATCGGTCTCTGGGCACTTCGAAACTCAAGACTGAATACCTGTCCAAGCAACAAGAGCGTGCCCTCATCGGAACGGTACCTTGACGATGCCAATTCAATGGCCCGGCGCCATATTATAACGCCTTGGCATTTTCAAACAAAGCCTGCAAGTGGCTGCTGAAGCCTGTGACAAACTAGCAAGGTCCGTCAGTGCAAGATGCCTGTTGCCGAATGCTTGTACAGGGGCACTTGCGCCTGAGCCTGGTGCGACTCTTGACCCAGTCCAAAAGAAGACTCTGAATGCAACAGGTGGCATCATTGGCATCTCTTTCCTGGCCTATCCTGTGATAAGGGAGCTTGTGAATAAAACATGCTTTCAAACGAGGAGTGCACCAGCAAACTTGCAAACTTGCCTGGTAGACGCATACAAACGAACAATCATTCTGGCGGGGGGATTGGATTAGAGCTTGCCTGTATAGCCGCAGAAAATGCCCACAAGCAAGTCAACGCACCTCCAGCTTGTACTGAGTCTCTGTAGGGTTCATGTCGAGACCATCCAGGTACTCGTCCTTTGTGGCACACAGGCCGAAGCCAACCCTGAACAGCACAAAAGGAGCACTGTTTCATAGGCGAACTTGATAGCCAGTTCATACAAGAAAACACGCACGCGCAAACTACAAAAAGCTGACAAAATCTGACAAAGGTGTTCGGTTGATTGCTTCATTCCAATTCCAAGGCCACTACTCGCACTGAGTCCAATGTTCCATCATTTCCGCACGATAATTTCACATCGCAGACCCTGCAAGATGCGTTCCAAGGTTCAGATAGGAAGTGGGCTCGAAGAGCGCCCTGGGTGATATGCTGGAATGAATCGAAGGGGCGCACTTGAAAAGAACTGTCGGCACTGACCAGCGAATTGCACAAACAGTTCCTTTAGCTTGATCAGCTTGCACGCAATGGGATGCTCAACTGCCACAGAAAGGCCCTATATTAATATATATATATACAGTCAGTATACTAACATTGAGCCTGATTGAGCAGAATAGTTCATTGGAGTTCAAATGGTCCTCATGTAAGGGGAAAGGCCTGCCTGAGAAACTCCAATGTTACGGAACACATGGCGGACAAGAGAACTGCAAGCCTGCCTGCTTGGTCGGAATTGACCAAGCACTCCCCAGCGTGCCCTGGCAAGGAATCTTGCGAAATGGAAACGCGGTGCCCCATGAGTAGAATGATGAATACAAGCATGCCGAATACAAGCCGACGTGGCCGTTGCCAGCATGCCGAAAGGGCTTCTCTGCGGACTCTTGACTTTCTGACCTGCGCCGTGTCAGAAGATGTTTCAGTAGTGACTTTATTGACCCTGTTCTTCTGCACCAAATGCACCTGCCTTTTGGAGGATCATCAGGCAGTGTGATACTGATTCGTTTCCTGACCGTGGTGCAGCTGTCACGCAGTGGCAGTGTGTTTCAAGGACTCAAATCTTTCGGTGTGTCCTTTCGGTTTGGGAGTTGCGGACCCGCGAGTTGCCCCGGCCCTCCGGCGCAGGTGAAGGTTCAGGCTTGGCACTCGCAGGAGGCCGGCTTGACTCGCAGCCCATGGCGCTCGGCCAAATTGACAGAGAAATTTCAGGAATCCCCTGAACTAAATGCTACAAGCCCTGGCACTGACATGATTCAAACATGCTTCAAGTGAGTTTAGCCATGCCGGCAACAGCTGCAAATTTCTAGGTTGAGTCATCTTGAGCCTCTATCGGTCACACCCCGAAGCCTTAATGCTGGAGGGTGAGCCTGAACGGCCAAGAAATGGATCACCAGCGCGATGGAGCAGGGACTTGATACTAAAACCTACTGTGCCTACTTAGTCCAGTTCCCCAAGAATGAAATGTTGAAAAGGTTGGCCTCTTCAATTGCTTCAGGCCTGTAGGACAGCATTTCATCTTTGGTCCAACAAGCTCCCCTTTCGCATGCCGAGACCGTGCCCTCCTCGCTCTCTGATACCACCAGGCAAGCTAATGCACAAAGTGGGTAAGCGCCTCAGGAACTTCACCGGTTTCATCCCCTCGAACCGAAAAAGTCCGTATTTTAAGCCCACTCCTACTATAATTCGGTAGGCGCTACTTAATTAAGGGAGTAAGCTACTAGCAATAGGAAGTTCCTAGCTAGAACGCAGGATAGCTCACGCTTCTTCAAGGAAGCTCCCGCCTGAGGGCGGGGGGAGCTTTCTTGAAGAAGCGCTCACACTAACTAATGATGCGTTTTCTTTCTGTAAGTCAAGTCCTGAGAGAGTACACGATCACAAGCTTTGGCCGCATGAGATCGAGGACGTGAGGCATGCCAGAACTTCTAATCCAAGGCGCAACAGGAGAGTCCTGCGCAGATCATCTGGGACTTTTGAGAGTTTGCCCTCGAGCGGGATCAAAGGCACTCCATCAAAGAAACTTTGGTTTGGGTGCAACTTTAAACAAATGAAAAACAAGAGTGGCTTGGACCCTTGAATCTGGATTGCTATGATTCATAGCCTACATCGCTACGGCCCCTTGACGACAAAAAAGTCTGCAATTTCCGCGAGTCCACACCGAGTCCACCCGGACTCCACTCGGTCCAAATAGGCCAAGACCAAGTACTCGAAAGGACCACTGGCCACGCTTGAATTCTGGTCCAGGAAGTGGCAAGACCGCCACCAATGCCAAAGGCAGTTGAAGCAAACTAAGGCCACCTCGAAAAGAGCGGCTGATGAACGAGATGGCGTAAAGTACATCAATTAGATAAGAGCGATTGCAGTTCAAGTTGGCTGAGATTGAAACGCAAGAACAGCACAGTATAGTAAGTGTACTTCAAGTACCGCCATAAATTGAACCAAAAGACAGCACAGGCGCGTAGCTCTCCCGGCCGCACGACGCAGTGCCGCAGATGCCATGGCCGGGCGTTCCGCAGAGAGTCTGGGCACCAATGGGAGCGATGTCAACGCCGCAACTTGTGGTGTGAGAGGCGTTGGGTTCCGTTGAAAGCATTGGGATGAGAAAGACTCTCAATGCTGGGGGCAGAATCAAGGGTAGGTGCCACGGGTCAAGGTCTTGATCAGGCATGGTCTCAGCATGTGTTTATGATCTGGTCTTCTGCTACATGTCTATCCACTGGATGATCACTGCAGCACAAAGATCCTGTACAGCACTTTACTCGACAAAGATTTAGTCTTGGTGTTTGAAGACCTCCAGAAAAAGTGACCGCCACACCCGGCCGATCGTCGCGACCGTTCTCAGAAAGCGATTGGTCGGCGTTGCTACCGTCTTTTTATAGCTGTGTGTGTGTGTTGTTTTGTCTGTTTAACATAGCAGTTGCATTGAACATATCGTTGCTTGCAGGAGGGAAGTTCCTGGCCACCTGACCCATGCTCTGCCATCCTGCATCTGAGTAGCAGTGTCCTCCGTGCAGCCTCTCGGGCACCAAGCACTCCAGAACCTCAGTCACTAAAGGCAAACACTTGGGCACAAGCTTGGAGAAGTGCAACCATCGGGTCACTCAAAATCATTCGACAGCATGCACATGAAATGCGGTCAAAAGATTCAACTTTTGCAAGATTTACTTCTTCCTCTCTGAGTGAAACGGTGAAATCTGACATTCCCAGCTTTCAGGATGTCAGGAGTCATCCTCATGCTCAACCAAGGCCAGTGGCGATTCGCTCTGGACTCGGAAAAAGCAAATGGACTGGCTAGAGGTCGTCACATGGCTCATCTTCAGGATCACCTGGACTAGCAAGTCCTCCGGTCTTGCCACAAACGAGGCCGACAACTGCTTGCCCTCCATGCATCTGAAAGCAAGGAAGGGCAGTTGATGATGGTAAAATAGAATCAGAAGTCTAGTCTAAAGGAAAACGGCGTGCAACGGCGTGCAACTTCAACTCTGCAGCACTACAACAGTGCCAAACGTATTTGTTTATGGACAATGTGGCGACAACGCGTTACTCAGTTCGATAACAACAAGCCCATTCGAGCCGAGTCCAGCTCGTTCAGCTCCCAGATGTTGGGGCAATGACCAGCTCTTCTCCGAAAGGTCAAAGACCTCGTAAGTGTCCAGGACCACCTCGCTGCATGTCATCAGAAACAAAGTAACAAGAACCAGCTGCAACATATTAGACCCTAATATTTGGCTCTTGGTCAAAAATCCGGATATAGTCTGCCAAACGCCAAAGTTAAAGAAAATTGCTAAAGCCTGTGGAACCTTGGACCTGCTTGTGAATTCATAGCCATTTGTCAAGCCCTCTTTCAAAGTTCCTGTATGGTCGGCTCATGCACACATAGTTACTTTGAAATTGCATCAGTGTCGCCACGTGGAATATTCTCAGCAGCTGCACACTCAAGCAATGTGTGGCCTTGCCATCCATCCCTCCAACGACATAGACGCGGCCCTCGATTGCAAAGGAGCAGTGCCCTACCCTTGGAACTGTCATCGGTGGCAACTCCTCGCAATGCATGTTGGCTCAAATGACGAGACTCGACATACAAAATAGGTGCCACTTGGATGGTCAGCACGCTTGACTGTTTTAGTTTGGGGGTTGTATTGTCCTATTTTCAGGAACTCACTGACACAAACTGACACACAATGCCTCTGAACCCATGTCCTGCCACGTCTCTAGCCGCGGGTTGAAGACTTCCCCAGAGCTCAAGACCTGATCTCCATCAGAGCCACCAGTGACCTCAGAATGCACAAAAAAGGATCCTGCCTGCCAGATGTTCATCCCATGTAAATCCAAGCAACATAAATAAGGTGATCTCCTTGCTCGTCTTGGAAGGTGGTGGCAGCGGCACCAATCCGCCCCACAGACATGGGAGGCATTGGCAACCACCTTGAGGCTTCCAAAGCCCCCAAACCAAGCAAAATCTTCACTCCAGTCTTCCACCCTCTTTCAAGTTCGAAGATTTTTGTAATTTCTGAGACTCTGCACCTCTCGCAATAGAGTTCGAAAGCTTCTATGCTTTGATGCGCTCGAGGTTTCTGCTCGTCCTTGACTTGGCGCTCCTGACCTCGGCCAACAGGTTCTCACACGGAAACTTGCTGACTGGTGTATATCTGTACTCACTTTGTTTGTCTCAAGCTCTCTGACTTGATTCAAGCCCCGACCTCCAATGGCATAGACTTTGTCGCCGGTGGACACCATCACATGGTAGGAGCGTGGAACCGACATGGCGTCCATGGAACTGCTCCAAGAGTTGCTCCTGACAAAAGTCTGGCGCTCTCTCGAGGCAAAACTGTGCCACGGCCACAACTACAGTAACTCGAACGGGAAGAAAACAAACTGCCAAAGTTGCGGCGGTTTGTGGGCAAGGTTTAAGGTTATTTCTTTGCCCACTAAGTTTGTGTCTGCCCTTTCGCAGTCCATGGAGTTGTTTCACCATTTTGACTCAACAATACTGAATAGGGGTAATTGTTTACTGATTGTTCCGGGTAATTGTGATGCCAAGGCCCCAGGCCCCAGTAAACGTGACTACAATGCGCCTGGGGTCATACATCTCAGCAGAGGCCAAATCTCTGATTCCATCGAAGCCCCCAGAGACGTAAAGTCGCCCTCCGGCAACTGCAGCGCCATGCATTGTACGCTTCGTGCCCATGGGAGGCTTTGTGAACCATTGGTCCCACTCATTGGACTCCGGGTCCAGTACCTCCATGGTTACTCGACTCAAAACTACCCTCGCAATCTAGAACCTAGGAACCGTTTCTTGTGGCAAAAACTCTATCACATCCTTGCTGCTAATTGCTTCTTGCTTGCAGCTGACTTCCTCATACCCCAGCTCAAACCCACTATATAGCTAGCTGTTGCCTACCCCGTCCAGCATGCGGCTTGCTCCACAACCCCCACCCCAAAAATTGCACTTCTGCCTCGAAGGTGTTCAGAGTTCTGCCATCAGCACTACCGCCCACGACATAGATCTTTCCCTGCCAGTACGTCTTTCTGTCCTTTTTGCTGATGTGCGTTTGCTTGTTTGGATTTTTTCGTGTTCTTCTTGATGACTCCAATGAAGCTGACTTCACTTGCGCAGTTCTATGCATTTGCAATGGATGGCGCATCTTTAACCCCGTGATATTTTCTCATCACACCATCACAACCACCCATCTCGCCTCCAGTTCGCAGGCAGTCGCATATGTACGCCGTGCTAGCATGGCCGGCACCTCTTTCCATTCGCCAGGGTCTTTGGCATCCTGCCATGAGATTTCTCAACTACACCTTGTCGATACACTTGCGTGAGACAAAATCATTGCTATTGAAGGGGTGCCCAGCAATCTTGCCCCATGGCTTTGCTCACCGGCAACAACTCATCCTCCAAGGGCCGGAAGCTCTCAACAGTTTTCAAGGGCTTCTGGCCATTGTGGCCCCCGAAGATAAAGGCCTCCCGTGCAGCACGTGACAACATACATACATGTGTTTTTCCTCATGTGTATATGTATGTATGTATGTCTGTCTGTATGTATGTATGTATGTCTGTATGTATGTGTGTATGTATGTATGTATGTATGTATGTATGTGTGTGTGTATGTATGTATGTATGTATGTATGTATGTATGTCTGTATGTGTGTATGTATGTATGTATGTATGTATGTATGTATGTATGTATGTATGT